CGGCCGCGCCCCCCGAGTCAACACAGCGGCACCTGTCAGGGATGATGAGGTGCTGGCAGGACTTGATGTAGCGGGGAAAGGGGTCGAGCAGGGAGAGCTCCTCGCCCAGGTCCGGGGGCTGGCCACAGACGCACGGCTCTGCGGGCACGGAGCCTGGCGCGCAGGAGAGGCTGTCCAAGCCAGGAGGTCTATCGGGAGCACCGGGGCTGCTCAGGCTCGGGGTGGCACCCTCCCCGGGGACACTCTCAGGGGAGCTCTCCCCGGAGCTCTGCGAGGCGTCGGCTGTCGGGGGAGGCCGTCCACTGGCCTTGCCTTCGCTGGTGCCCCGGGGGCACTTGACCTGGCCACGGGCTGTGCCCTGGCCACTCTGAATGCCCAGAATCTGGGCGGGTGGCAGCGTGTGGATGTCACGGGTGCTCTGCCTGCAGCGGCCACTCTCCTGCCAGTGCACGGTGCAGAAGGCCTTGGAGTGCACCACACGCGCCACGCCTGGCAGCGGCGTCACAGTGCAGTTCTCCCCGGGGAACAAATGCAGGGTCAAGCTCTCCTGGGCATGCCCCTGCTCAGCCAGGGCACCACAGGGCTCCTGTAGCTGCCGCTCCTCCAGCGTCTTGCGCTGCACACACTGTCAAGGACTGCACTGCAGGCTCAGTGGCCCTACCCCAGCCTCAAGGCTCAGGGCACCCACTGGGCATCACCCCTGGCCAGCAGCTGGAGCTGCGGCCTGGGGAAGCCGGTGCCTGGACACTGCCCTCTGACCACAAACCAGAGAAGGCTGTAGGTCAGCCCTGCATCCACCGCTCAGCAGGAGGCTAGACAGGTTCCAAGGGGAAGCCGGGTCTCCTTCCAATGCCACCTCCTGGGGGATTGCGGGCAGCGCCCAAGGAAAGGATACGACCCGCACTTCGTGGAGTGCCCACTTCTGCTTCAGGAACTCGATGAGGCTGGAGACCTTGCGGTGCAGCTCCACGATCATCCTGCAGAGAGGGGCAGCTCGGGCGGGGTCCACAGACAGCCCCATCCAGCTAAGAGAAGGGCAGTAGCCCTGTGTGCCCGCCACCAGGAGCCCTAAACAACAGGCCCTTACCGAGGTGAACCCATCACCCATGTGCCAGCACCTCCTGGGGTCCAGGAGGGAGATCAGGCAGGACACAGGACCAATCCTGGCCCTGGTCTGGCACCAAGCAGCACACCTGTCTGATTGGGAAGGCAGCAGCCCAGAGGTCTCACGAACTCAGCCCACCCACCTGGGACTGTAGACACCGTAAAACCTCCACCCCCAACCCCCCACACTGCCCAGTGCCCGGGCCTGGCTGTCACCTGAGCCGTGGGTTCTGGGCAAGGCTCTGCACTCGAGCCCATGCGTGGTTGTTGCGAGGCTGTAGCTCCACGGGCACCTTCAGGGGCAGGCGCACAGGCTTCTGGTCCTCCTCATCGCTCAGGCCTGTGTGGGAGAGGGGGTCCCCTCAGGAGTGGGCACACTGCTCTGAGGATGGAGCGGCCAAGAGGAGAGGTGGGAGCCTGGTCCTGGAGGAGAAGCCCGACACACCAGCCACCGTGTCCACACTTTGCTGGCTGTCGTGAGTGTGCGCTGTGGCAGCAGACACCCCACCCTCGGACTCCGCCCGCCTCCCTGGACCTACCATCCGGGTCACAGAGCTTCTTCAGGGCTCGGCACATGGGGGCCTTGATGCGCAGGTTGCGGCCTCTGTATCGGACTGTGGTGGCCCTGGGGGAAGGGCAGTACGGACAGGTCAGGCCGGGGGACAGCAGCTGCCCCTAACGGACAGCTGGCAGAGGAGAGGGACTGTGGCCAACTGCCCAGCCTTGGCCTACAGAGCACCGGCTCCGTCCCTGAGGCTGGTCCCCGCTCCAGCCTCACGGTTCACCGCAGGCCCTGTAGGCCTAAGGCCACAGACAAGGGAGGACTCATGGGACAGGCAGGACGTGGGGTCCTGAGTGTCCCGACTGTGGGAGTCTGGACAGCAAAGGGAGTCAAACCCCGCACTCCAGCCCTGGACCCAGCCCAGGGCCCCAGCGCTGCAGAGCCCCCTCCTCGGAGCTCCACACAACGGACCCCGAGACGAGACAGGCCACCAGGCCGGGTGGGGTGGGGGCTGGGCATGGCACTCAGCCTAGAGGGCAGACCTACAAGTGCTGGAACAGGGACTACTGGCAGGTGTTACGAGAAAAAAATTCCTGTTATCTATACAAACAAAAACTGCTATTCTAGGGGATCAGACAACAGAAAAGTGGGAGACATTGGCCAGAGTAAGACTTGAAAAAATAATAATTCATAAATTATCAAGGGTTCATGACAGATGGAGGGAGGGAAAAAAATGAGGAGCTGATACCAAGGGCTCAAGTAGAAAGAAACTGTTTTGAAAATGACGACGGCAACAAATGTACAAATGTGCTTGACACAATGGGATGAAAGTATGGATTGTGATAAGAGCTATAAGAGCCCCCAATAAAATGATTAAAAAATAATTTTAAAAAAACGATTATTCTAAAAAAATGCTGTCTAGAATTGAAAATCAGAATGAACACCATCCAACTGTCCTGTCTGCTGACAGCCACGTCTACTAAGGCTGGCCTGAAGGGCCCCACACCCAGGAGCACAAAGGAGGTGTCAGTGAGTGGGGCTCAGCCTCCCTTAAAGTCCCTGAGCCTGGGGGGAGTGGGGGGCTGAGGAAGTAGGAGGAGCTTGTCACCCAGGGAAGGGCTGGGAAGGACCCTGAGTAAGTGGGAGGAGCTGGGAAATAAAGGTGAAGTGGAAGGGACTGAGGAGGACCATGAGGAAGTGGGAGGGGCTGGGAGGGAATGTGATCAAGTGGGAGGAGCCGGGTACAAAGGTGAGGAAATGGGAAGAGAGCTGGGAAGGATCTTATGGAAGTGAGAGGAACTGGGAAGGATGGTGAGGAAGTGGGAGGAGCTGGGAACAAAGGGAGGAAGTGGGAGCTGGTGAGGACCTTGAGGAAATGGGAGGGGCTGGGACGTGAGAAATAAATCCCAAAATGGTCCATGTCCAGCAATTTCAGGAATAAAAGGCCAAAAAGTTACTAAGCATCCTGTGCACAAATTGACAGCTGATGTGACAATCACTAGAACCCAGAGACTGGGGAAGGGTATAATTTGAGTCAGTTCCTCTAGGGAGGGAGAGACTTTAAACAAAGAAGTAGTTGCACTTTCTGGGAAAACCTTAACCCCACAGTACTCGGTCAGTGAGGAGTCAGGGCAGGGCCTGGAAAGCTAGGAAAACTACTGCTTGGCAGACGTGTTTGGGTGGCAGCCGTCTTGTCTTCTGAGGCTTGGACGCCCGAGTTTGCAAAATCAACCAACAAAGCCTCACTCTCGCTGTACAGACTCGGGGTTCCCACTGTACCCTCACATGGGGCAAGGTGCTCTGGGGCTGCTCCAGTCCCTGCTCTGGAGACGCATCAGGGCATCAAATCTGGGGTTTATACCGATCCATCTGCTGGTTACCAGAGGCACTGAGAAAGTCTCGGGTGTCGACAGTTCCTCACAGGGGGGACCTTGAGACCCTCTGCATGAACTGAGAGGTCAGCAGGGTGGACAGAGTGAAATGCTTGGAAAGGGAAAGCAGATCCCGGGGTCGGATCGAGCTTACACAGACCGGTCCCCAGCAAGACCCCTTCCAGCCCCAGGACAGAGGCCCCGAGGGCAAAGCCATCATAGCCTCTGAACGTGAGCTCGCTGGCCTGGCCTGCAGGAGAAGCAGCAGGCCCACGTCCCTTGCTCCACGTGCCAGCACTCAAGGGAGAGGGGGCTGGCGGTTGACAGGACTCACCCGGCCTGGATGAGCTCATTCAGCTTCGTGGCATTCTTGTCGTCCATGCCTTGCAGTGGGACAGACAGAGGTTAGCACGGGGGCCCATGGTCCTACAGGAAGACCCTACCCCCCCCACCCCCGGGGCAGGAACGGACCTCGCTGGAGAGGCACCTCTGCTCCCCCTGCACACACCCCTCTGCTTGGCAGTAAGAGGGGGCTTCCAAACACTCATGGCAAGCGGTCACTATATTTCAGATGCCCCTTTCCATGCCCTACCCCCTCACCTGCACATGCTCTGCCTTCTCTGCAACCATGCAGGTGCCCCACCCGGCTATCTGCCCAGCTCTGCAGAGAGACCACACCCCCAGAGGACCTCACCTAGACCGGGCACAGACCAGAGACCAAACCCGAGGCACCTCCCTCGAGTCGTCCCAGGGTTACAGGGTGAAACTGTGTGCTCCCTGGTGATCTCTTAATGAAAGCTGATCGCAGCCCTTTCTCCCTGGGGTCCTCGGGTGGGACTGAACTCCTGAGCTTTCAGTTAGTAACCCGGAGACAGTCTACTCAGTGAGCAGCAGACAAGCTACTGCTTGCCCACTGCCCACTCTGAGGCAGAAGCCTCACAGGGCAGGTGCCTTTTGCACCAAAGTCACAGTGCAACTAACCGTAAGATCCCTGGAAGATGAAATTCTGGGGTCACCGGGGTGGCCCAGCAGGAGGTGGTGAGGCCTCCTCCTCCCATCCCCGGGAGGTCAAGCGCCAAAGCGTTTACAGGACACAAGCTCATGAGGAACCCATCGGAGTGAGTCCCATGTGGGGGAGGCTTTACAAAGCACAGGCCTGGACCACCAGCACAGGCAGAGTATAAGAGACCAAGGGGCTGTAGTGGGTTCTGACCACAGGGGCATCTTGGATAAGATCTCATGGCCTATTTGCTACATGCTGAATCGTGGTCGGCTCTCACCTGACAGCACCTACACACACCCGTCCCCATCCCCATCGCCACGTCTCAGGGCGGTGATCACGGCAGCATGCATGGAGGGCTTTTGGTCTGACGTGTTTGTATCTCCCAGATAAATGAGTGTGTGGTAAAGCAAAGTGTGCCCGGCTGCACGCGTGCATGTGCGTGTATGGAGCGTAGAGAAGAGCAAAAGCACAGATAGGCAGCAGGTGTGTGCCGTTCATGGCCGGAAAGTTGGAGGGAGCGGCAGTTGGGGTGCACAGGCAGCATGTACTCACAGCCCCCGATCTTCTTGCGCAGCTCGCCGTAGCAGATGAGCCCGTAGAGCTCCTGGGACGACTTCTTCAGCCCTCGGGAGAACACTACAGAGAGAGCAGGTCGGGAGGCCGGTCACAGATGGCCAGTGCGACCTGTGCGGCACTCGAGAGGAGGCGTGACGGGGGCTGGGAAACTGCCTGACGGCCAGAGCGGACGGAGGTCTGCTGGGGAGGAAGCGCACCAGCACTGGTTTTCATCCAGGATGGGGGAGGCAGGACGGACCCACCCCTGGACCTGTCTCCGCACAGCTCTTCAGGACTCAGCTCTTCAGGACTCGGCCTGCCTCCTGTCTCCTTACTACCTCACCAAAGATTCAGATCATCACCCCCCAACTTTGACCTCTCGGAACCCCAGACGCACCAGCAGCAGTGCTGACTGGAGGTGCGGACGGGGCAGGAGCACTCTCAACCTAGCCAGTTCCCACCCTTCTCCTTCAGGGGCCGCCCACCCAGCCCCACCTGCTTTAGGAAGGCAGTGCAGAGAAGGAGCCTGTGCCAGCCTCCTTGTGGCTAAATGTGGCCACGCAATCAAGTACCAACCAGTCACGTGTGGCCATGCTGTGGAAACTTCCGGATGGGCTGCTTAAGGAGACTGACAGGCAGGCCAGCTGCCGCCTGGGGTCACTTGGACATGTCTCCTGCCAGCAGAGTAGGACGGCGCCTGGGCCTCCGGCTCCAGGAGTCACGGATGCAGAGAACAAACCTCCAGGTGTGCCAGCTTAAGCTTTTCACTGATGCAGCGAGCCCAGGGACACCATGGCGCCACGGCTTCCGTGCCACACTAGTACCCGTCTTCCACCATTCCCCTCACTTCAGAGCCTGACATTCCCTCGGTGTGTGCACGTGCGCACGTGTGTCTGTGAGTGCATGAGAGTGCATGCGTGCGAGTGCGCATGTGTCTATGAGTGCATGCACACGTGTCTGTGTGCATGAGTGCGTGTGTGCACGTGTACATGTCTGTGAGTGCATGTGAACACTTGTGAGTGTCTGTGCATGACAGTGAGTGCGTGTGCATGTGCGCTGTGTTGGCAGGAGCACATGTGAGCACTTGCATGTCTGTGTGTGAAGACAAGTGTGTATGAAAAGGCATCACAAAATCTGCATAAGTAAAGTCCCTTCCTGTGTGCAGGCGTGCATGCACCCAAGCAAGTGTGTGTGTGTGTGTGTGTGTGTGTGTGTGTGTGTGTCCGAAAAAAATGTGTCTGTGTGTAGGAAAAAGAGGGGTGGCGGAGGGTTAAGGCAAAGGAAGGCACAGCAGCAGGCAGAGAATTAGGACTCACTGGCCCCTCTGCTCCCAGGGGGAAGCAGGGGCCAACGCCCCCCATCCCCTGGTGACAGCGAACACCAGCAGCAGGGACGGCCTGGGAGTGGAAATCCACAGTGAGCTGGTCACATGGATGAGGGAGGGGACGACACAAGCCTGGGATCTCAGAGGACCCAAGGTGGGCAAACCAGCATCGAGGCCCTACCAGTATTTACCTCAAACCTGCCACCAGGCCCACAGCCAGACCCTGCTGCCACAGCAGAGCAGGACCCAGCCCTTGCAGACGTCCCCAAGCACGGTACCATGTCGAGGGACCACCAGAGGTAGCAAGCAGCCTCCACACAGATGCATGAGACCAGAGTCACCAGGGGCAGCCGGCAAGGGAACAGCAAGCCTTGCGTGGGGCGGGCGCAGAGTGGACCGCTGCCCATGCCGCTGCTCGCCGGTAGCACTCACCATTGTCGAAGTCAATGTACTTGGTGATCTTGTGCCAGGTGCGGTAGTAGAAGTGGCGGACCTGCTCCTTGTTCTTGACCATGCTCGTGGGCTTGCCCTTCTTCCTGTACTTCAGGGCGATGTTGTTCTGGATCGCCTCAAAGTCCTTCCCGTGCTGGGAGCAGACACAGCCTGCGTCAGGCAGCGTGTGGGGGGCACAACGTCCCTCCCCGCCCCTGCGCGCCGGCCACAAGGCTCGGGCTCTAAGGAGAACGGAGTGGGCGCGGGAACGCAGGGGCACATGACACCACAGCAGTGCACATGCTAGTCACCTAGACCGGTGCGTCCCCTTCAGCCTCACTGATGGGTCACACCACCAGACGGGGCTCCGGGCCAGTTCAAACCTGGTTAGTTGCCGCCATGAATGAGGGTGGGCCTCTGGTGGGCTGCAGAGTGCCCCACTGGGCAACAGTGGGTATAGCCCTCTTCAAAGACAGCGCCCAGGAATGAGCCCCCAGAAGTGCGGCCACGCACCGCTCCTGGAGCCAATGAGGATCACTGAGCAGAGACCCCTTCACCTCGGAGCAAGGAGCTGCACGTCTGGTGAGAGGCATGCACAGAAACTGCTCCAGCTGCTCCTGCGGGGGCTGTGCCCGCAATGCTTCAGGCGAAGGCAGGGTGGCGCATCAGGGTCCTCCCAGGGCCTGCCAGTGAGCCAGCATGAGTGCCAGGGCAGGAGTCAGGAGCACACCAGCAGCCAGGGGGCCTGGCAGAACCAGTTCCTGGGAGAAATGGCTGCTCCCCAGATGGGAAAGGGGGGACCTGAGGGAGTCCTGATGACCCTGCGGTACCAGCCAGGGAAATGAACAAGGGGAACGCAGAGGAGATGCAAGAGTTACCCTGAAGAGGTGCCCAGTGGCCACATCTGGGGCAATTGGGACAACGGTATAAGCACAATACAAATGGGTTGAGGCGCCCAGCACACTGGCCGCGTTCAGGGTCTCAGTGGTTAAACCAGCCAATCGCAGGCGCCACGCGCCAAGGAGGATGACCTAGGCAGAGCAGTGGCAAGGAGGCGCGGCCATCGGTGAGCAGCTGTCACCCCCACCCCCCACTCACCTCGTACAGCCCCTCAAAAAAAGTGTTCTTGTCCTCTGTGCTCCAGGACTCCCACTGGCGCCGCACCTTCTTGCCTTCCTCCTTCTCGGGCCCTGAAGAGCCCAAGCTCCGGGAGGAGGGCCGTGAGCCCCCTGCAGGAGCAGCTGGGGCAGCCCCAGGCCCATTTCCCGATGCTGCTCCCCCGCTGTCGGCTCCTTGGAGAGAAAGCAACAGGCCCTGTGAATGCCTCGGGGGACAGGCTCTGAGCACCTTGCACCTCGCAGGCCGGCCCTGGGACCCCACGACCAGGCAAGGTGGCTCAGTGGCGAGAGGAGGGAACCTAACCCTGCTGGTGCGTGCACTGTGGGGTGAGGGGCCGCGTAGCCACACAGCAGCCACACAGCAGGCTCAGGGGCCTGTTCTCCCGAGAAGGGAAAGCCGTCTCCAGGGGCCCACAGCACATACATGAGGTCACCACGCATCACAACCAACGAGATGAGGACCTCGTGTAGGTGGGGAAGGGGTCACCTTCAAGCCAGGTTTTGGTGGAAATCATCCTTGGCTTCTTCTCAACGAGCGAGCAGAGGCATGACGCGCAGAAGACGGGGCTGCGCTGCAGACCACCGCCTGCGGTAGCCAGACCTCAGAATGCAGCTGCAGTCGCTGCCGCAGCACTGGCTCCATGTCAGGGCGACGCACACCCAACAGAGAGGCGCTGCCCGGCCCTGCGCCATCCCCACGACAGGGGGCTGTTTGAGCGCTCTGCTGTGGCTGCAGTCAGTCCGCCTCACTGAGGGGCTCCCTTGCTTCACTGACCCCTACTGTACTCACCCCCTCATGTCCTGACTTTCTGGCTAACAACATTTTGCATTGACGGTGTGAGTGACCTGGGGTGCAGTGGTCATGTGTTGGGGTCAGCAGTTCAAAACCACCAGCCACTCCATGCAAGAAAGACAGAGCTTTCTACTCCCAGGAGAGGGGCCATTCTCCCGTCCTGCAGGGTCACCACGAGTGGGCATCGATCGACTCAAGGACAAGGAGAATGAGAGACAAAAGTGACAACCTTGCTGACTCACAAGGGACTTCCAGCCATAAGGAACTGCCAGGCGCGTGGCAAGGGGAGGCGCCCTGGTCCCCATCAGCTGGCTTGGCTGGGACTCTCAGGGGGCTGGGACTCACAGAGCACATAGTCCGTCTCCACTTTCACCTCATGCCAAGGTGCACGGAGCCACCTGGTCTGTGGAGTGCACTATACACATCACTGATGCCTCAGGGCCTTTTGTTCTTTCTCTTTAAGTTAAATTCTTGAGAAAAGGTACACTTGATCAACGTGTGGCTTCAGTGCTGAGCGTGATCGGACAACTGGAAGTTTCTCTGAAAGCATCGGTTCCCACCCTCCCACCAAGTCTGAAAACAGGGCTGAAAGGGGGAAGTTAATAAATTAAACAGCGAGGCCTAAAAACTCTTAGGTGTAAGAGAGTCCAAGGTCACAGACAGGGCATTTTTATGACCTACCCCAGCATGCCCCGCCTCCCTCAGGGGATAGAGCAGGAAGCACCGGGGCTCACCTGTGACAGCCACCAGCCACTCTTCAGGTGGCTGCAATGTCGTAAGACAGAGAGAAAGCCCCAGACCGTGAGACGCTCAGGGCAGACCCACGGTAGCACGGCAACAGTGCCTAAGCACGCCAGGCACATCCAGACCGCCCGCTGAGGCAGAGCGTCCCCAAGGAGGCCGCGGAGGGCTTTCCCGGTGGAATCTACTTCCTGGTAGGCCCAGCAAGAGCACTCGTGAGCTCACAGGGTCTGTGGCATGCAATCCCGAATGACCTGTGCAGCCTTCTTCACAGCCTGGGGACAGACCCGCCGCGCTCACTTGGGTCCACAGGCAGGAGAAATGGAAGGTTAGTCTGTCCGTCCACACACCCCACAAAGGCCCTCCAGAAAAACACGTGGAAAATCAACGTCTCCACCTCAGACAGAGTCCAAAGAGGAGGCTGTACGCTGTGCTTTGGTGAGCGGCTACCAGGGTCTCAGACGCCTGGGAGTAGCCATCTGAGATGCTAAGCTGCAACTACTGGGTCTCCCCTGGTGAGGAGCAAAGGAGGGTGAGGAAAACCAAGCTTCAAGGTAACGGCCACCACTAAGGAGGCCAAAAACCCCAACGCACTGCACACTCCTCCACGTCACAGAACACAGCGAGCGAGCGCCGAGGGGCGAAGAGGAAACGAGTGCTCTGTAAACTCTCACCCAGACTACAGCACAAGAAAGTAAAAACCGGCTCCTGCCGGCTGCCCGACCACGTGGAAGAGATGAGCTCCTCATGGCTGCCTTCAGCGCCAGCCTCACAGTGCATCTGAGTCTGCACCCAGGAAGCACTGCCACAGAATAGAGGACGGCTGAGCTCAGGATCTGCCTGCAACCCGCTCCGATGCCACTTGGCACCGGAAACAAATGCCAGCCACCTGAGGCAGGACTGGCCTCGGTCCATGCTTCACCTGCCCTAAGCTTCACTGTGGGCCGGTTCATGAAGCTGGTGTTTCCCAAGATCTTGTCGAAGGCTTGGTAGCTCCGAGCACCCTGTGCAGGAGTGAGCCATCTCGCTCTGCTTCCAGTAACAGTGGTGCTTGCCTCTTAGGGGAAGAACAAGCCAGAGACACCAGGTGAAGCATCGCCCTCAAGTTAAAGAAGTTCCTGGTGACCCGGAGTCCCTAAACTCGTCATTGAGGGGGGCTGCCACCTGCCCACTCCACACCCCCCTGAAAACGCTGTCAGTGCCACTCATCAATTCCTAAGAAGCACTCATTAAACGCCCCTCTTCCCAAACACGGCCACTCGCCGGCACGCCCTTCAATCAGAGCTCGGGCTTCCTCTTGATACCAGAAGCACCGCCGTGATGTTTGTCTGTTAAGATTCTATAATCCAGATGTTTCTCTACGTTTTGTGAGGTTTTACTACCAAGTCCCTGGAAGCAGTACTCGCCAGAGAAAGAAGCGTGAGGGAAACAGCCCACAGCTTCCTGAACTGGACGGGCCTCCGGGGGAGAGTGTGGACCCTCCAAACTGGTGGCCGTGACAGCGCAAGTGGCCCTGATGAGGTCTGTGAGGCAAGAAACCCCCCTAGGAGTCACGGGCCCCTCTGCACCCGCCTCAGAGCCTCAGCCGTTCTTCCCGATGTCGCAAGGACAACTGCCCAGTGCAGGAAAATAAAGCAGAGTGGACGTTCAGAAAAGAACGCAATTCCCCCGAGCTGACCGCTTCTATCCTTTGGCGCACAGCATGCTAGACCGACTGCTTGTTACAACGGAAAGCAGAACGGCGAGACTTCCGAGAACGAGGTGAGCATGGCACCGGTCTGTCCCCCAAAGCAGCTGCACTGTGTGACTGCTGGCTCACAGCTCAGGCAGGACAGACACTGGAGGTGGAATCAGAACCCTGGTCGAATGCGACGACGGTGACTGTCAATGAGTGGTCACCACTGGTTCAGAACCAGAAAGATGAACGGAGGGAGGAGAAAGTGGAAGACGACAGAGGCTTTGTGACTGTTTAGCAGGGGCTGGGAGTGGGTCCTTGAAGCCTGACAAACAGCAGGGGGCCAGAGCCAACCTCCTGCGCTGCCTCCATTTCTGATACCACCAGCAGGCTTCATGTTTCTGTGACGCAAGCCAGAATGCAAGAACGGCAGCAGCCAGTCCATGTGCTGGACCCGAGAGCAAGCCCTTCGAGCACGCCCCGCTGCACATCCAGGCCTCTCAAAGCAGCCGCTCGGGGACCAATGAGCAGACGAGGAGTCCCTCCTCTACGCCAGGTATGCCTGCTCCCCAAAGCTCCTATAGGCCACACGACAGTGTCCAACTAATGAGAAAGCATCACTTCCAATCCCCCACCATCCACCACGCCCACAGGAAGGGATGGCCTCTCCAGGACCACCAATCTCGCTGGCGACGTCTTCCATGCTCTGAACATGACGCAGACTGGTCCTCTCTGCAGGCTGGAAGCCACCCCGTGGTCTCCTCAATGGGAATGGCTTCTGGAGGCACCCGTGGGTGACTCGGCAGACCCGCCAGTCCCAGAAGACTCCCCACTTTCCAGAAACATGGGGGTTGAAATGCAACTAAAAGCCCACTGTCTCCACCAAAATATATATGTCCTCTTCACTGAGGGGCATGGAGGCTTCCGAATGGTCTGAAGAAAGCCATTCATGATATCCCACACGCCACCCCCAGGCCAGGGACTGCTGCCTCTCGGCCGGCCTCTGCCACTCAAGCACAGGGCTCACCGTCACCGTCATCCACAACAGGGCGCCTGCTCACTCCCAGACTCCATTATCAGTCGTCCATTGAGTCTCTGCTCTTCCTACTTCGGCATCATGCAGATAAAGACCTGCTGCACCCAGGAAGTGGGAGTCCTGAAGGCTGTCGCCTGTTCAAGTCTGGTCACGTGACTCTATGTGTGCAGATGACAGGTCCTCGGGCTCTCCAGAAGAGGTCACCCAGTCTGCTCCGAGGCCACTGCTGGATGCTGTCAGCTAGCGGCGAGTTCTGCACTGTTGGGGTCCTATGAGGACTCCTTGTATGTACATAATAGATATGTGTGTGTACCTTTGTCCAGTCCTGCGCGAAATAACTGGCCGAGAACCTGTGTTCACGCCTGCTCCCCAGCACTGCGCCTTGCCTTGGCCGCAGAGTCCCGGCCACGTCGAGCGGTCTGGCTGCGTGGCCCTGGGTTGGGGTGTGCAGCTGAATGCTGAGCAGGGTCAGTGGGAGTACGCACCTCGCTCCACACCAGCTTCCATCTCCTGCTCACAGTGCCAAACCTCCTGAAGCCTCACCAAATCGTTCGACTAGGCAGGAGGGACCTGAGAGCCAGGGCCCTGTGGTCTGGTCCCAGGATAGCACAGGTGTCAGCTACAGAGGGCAGGAGGGTGGCCCCACCAAGAGATGAGAAGTGGACACCACACACCATCACCTGAGAAATGAGGGCCATTCAGAGGTCCCCAGCCGTAGACACTCCTGCCACCCACCCAGCCCCAATGCCGCCTTCCTGCCATCACAGCGTCACCACGATCTATCCCAGCGCAGGGTTGTTCAGCTGGGCTTGTGTAAGGGCAGGTCCCCATGACCGCCTCCTCGACAGGAGCCCAGTGCTTGTTTGTCACGCAGCCCAAGCCACCAGGTGAATGGCTGCTCTGCGGGCCACCCAGCTCCTGAGTCAGCACTGTCCAACAGCCACCAGTCTCCCAAAGGCCCAAGGCAGCAGCTGTGATAGTCCAGGACATGTCTTCTAACACTAAGGGGCTCCCAGGTGCATCAGGCAGGCCAGCTGTGGCTCCAGGAGATGGGTCATTTGCCAGTGTCCCCAAGAGCAGCACAGGCATAGGGTCTCCGAGACTCTGGGCTCCACTTGTGGGTTGCCCAAGGGGTGTCCCTCCATTATCCAGCAGGTCCCCTGAGCTCCAGGTAAGCAGGACTTAAACACATACTTCCCTCTGTACCCATGTAAAAACCGGCAGCAGCAATGTCAGTGCCTGGACATGTGTGTTCGATCTTAGTCACCGCCCTCTTACTGACTGGACAGGCAGGCACAGCGTCCCAGACTTTTCCTTGGGATCAACAAGCATATTCGTCTACGGAAAGATGTCATGCCGTGGGGTGGGAGGAGGCTGAGCGAGGAGGGGTCTCCTCCATCTCGTCCTCCAGATCTGCAGCAAGGCTTTCCACCCAGCACAGGAGACACTAATCATCCGATGACGGACACTTGTCACCCACCAGCAGGAGGCACAGGGGCTGTCCTCCTGTTGAGCTTCACGAAAACCAGGGCATCTTCACGGGGAAACCTTTCCAGGTGCCGGTGCGATCAGCTTCCTGGCTGGTGAGCCCTCTTCGCTGGGAAGATGCTCCTCCGAGAAGCGTATCCACAGGGGGCTAGAGATCCTGGGGCCAGCTCCTAGGTGGGTCAAGCCAGCCAGGTTGGCACAAGGAGATGTTGGCATTGGGAGCTATGTCCACCGGACCCAAGAGGCCCGGGAGGGGTGGCAGCCAAGAGAGGAGGATGCGTGCTTTCGAAGTTCTTAGGGACCTCGCTGTCCACTCCAGTCGCGAGAGCATTCACACTTCAGCTTCGCTGTTTACATGTTTCAAATAATCCTCGCTCACAAATTTGAGAACACCAATTCGAATGAGCATACGTCTTGCCGGTTTATCCACACGCTATACAGTGTTGACCGGTGCTCCACGCCACACACTGAGCCCAGGAACAAGAGCACTGTGAGAACGCCGTGGGGTCCGAGAGTCAGGCTATGCCCCCTCTCCTTGAGACGGCTGTCATGTCGACAGTTTCATTTCAGCACCACACCTCATGGGAGCCGAGAGGTCGCACTGTCCCCGCGTCACAGGGAAGAACACCTCATCTAATGCAAGAGCAGGTTTCAAACCCAGCCAGCAGTTGGGACAGAGGGACCCTGTAGGACCCTACTTGGTCTATTCCCCTGAAGCTGGAAACCAATTACATCCCTGGAAGCCCCCCAGGATCCTGCAGGGTCACACACATGTGCTGTCGCCAGGAATGCAGCCTTTTGATGGAGGGAAGGAAAAAAAAGGAGCGTCCTTCTCAGCCAGAGACGGTGACCTCCTGTGGCACGGGCCAGGTGTAACTCCTTCCCATGGGTCTGCCGCATTTCAAAAGCCCCCGTTCTGAAAGAAGCTAGGAACACTGCCATTCCAGGGGCTGAAATGACCAGGAGCTGTGTGGCCTACCGCTCCAGGACTCCAGAAACCACGACTCTCTCGAAAACATCGGGACCACCGACCTCACTCAAACAGCCATTTGCCAGGGAACCGGGCGAAAGTTCGTTTGGTTGTTTTTCCTGCTGAGGTTCACTGGGAAGTGTGTTATTTTTGCTAGTGACACAAACGGCAGGCTCGGTGACATCGGAAAGAGGGCAGAACTGTCCCCTTGAAGTCCCCAGAGGAAAAGGCCTGTGGGCTCTCAGAGGCTTCTGGTGGGGCAGCCAGGAAGCAGCCCTGTTCCTGTCACCTCAGGGTACAAGGACAAGCACTACTGGCTGTCTCCCCCTCCTTGATAACTCCCGTACCCTTGGATTTCCGGGAAAGACACTCCGCAGGTATTTCCCCTTGTCCTTTACCAACTACTGCCCACTGCGAAGCATGGCCCACAGCACGAAATGACCCTTCTCTTTTGCAAGGGGGGAACAATCCCAGCCAATAGGAATCCACGAGGCTTGCCCAAACAAACCCACAGCCATTAAATGGGTTCTGACTCCCGGGGACCCTAGATGGCAGAGCGGGCTGGACTCCCTTGGGTGTGCCCGGCAGTAATCTTTATGACGCCTTGTCTCACGCACTTTGGACATGTTGTCAGGAGAGACCAGTCCCTGGAAAAAGACATCCTGCTTGGGAAAGTTGCGGGGCAGCAAAAATGAGGAAGACTTTCAAGAAGATGGATGGACAAGGTAGCTGCCCCGATGGGCCCCAGCACAACAAGAGTTGTGAGGCGGGCCCAGATGCGGGCGCGCTTCCTTCTGCTGTGCACACAGAGGGGCACCGCAGCTGGACTGGACTCGGCAGCACCCAACAAACACCCTGAAGGAAGCAGACGGCTCATCTGTCTCCCATGGAGTGGCCTGTGGGCTCGAACCACGGACTTTTCGAGCGGCGGCCAAGCGCTTTAACCACCATCCCATCATGTCTCCTGAGAGAACACTGACCGCATCTTCAAGCCAAGATGCACACGGAGAGTCACCTTCTAGGAAGGAGGAAGGGGCCCCGGCACTCCACAGCGGGAGACCGTGCTGGGGGGGTTTACAGATTTAAGTGGTGTCAGGAGGGGCCTGGAGGAGGGGGAGGTCGCTGCAGAAGCCAAAGGGATTTGAGTGGGGCACCCCGAGAGCAGGGCTGGGGGGGCTCACTTACCTTTGCCCCGGGCCCCGGCGCTGCCACTGCCACCACCTGCGCAGGAGGTGTCCTTCCTGGGCCTCTTGCTCTGCGGCCTCACGCTGGACCTGAGGAAGTGGTGCTGGTCCTGGGGGGAGCCCTGCGGCGCGCAGGGGGCCGGGGGCCCCGGGCGGCCGGCGCTGCCGCTGCTGAGGGGCTGCTGAGCCTCCTTTGTGCCGCTGGTCTCCTCGGCCGCGTCCCCTCCGCCGGCGCCCTCTCCTTCCAGGGAGTCCTCCTCGGCCGCGCGCTTGCCCAGCTTCTTGCGCCGGTCCTCCCCGCCGCCGTCGCCCAACTTCACTGTCATCCTGGGCGGGGGGAGACAGGCCGCGGGCAGCAGCAGGCCCGGGGCGCGGGGACAACTTTAGCCGCACAAATTCCCTCTCAACATGGCCGCCGTTGTTTGTTCCAACCCCCTCCCGGCCCGC